GGAACTGGAGGGAGTCTTACAACAGTCAAAGAAAGTATACACTCAAAATAAAAAAATCATGACTTTGTAATACAATTGATGAAAATAAAAAAAAGGTCTGGTAGAATAAAATATTTTTACAAATTCTAGGGAAAATATCCCAAGTTTTCGCGAACGATTAGAATTATCTTATCTGATATTAATATCTAGTATTTTAATTATTTTAGGAAATTTATAACAACTTCTACTTAAATATTAAAGCCTTCTGACTATGTATATTGAAGGAATTGAGGAAAGGTCTGTGAGTATGCCTGTCTGTGTGATCGCGCGCGCGCGGGTGTAATAATAATAAATAATAATAATTAACGGTTTATTGAAAGAGCTTGGCAGCCAGAAGGCTGAAAATATACAGTTACATATTTGGGGAATGGGTTACGAATTACAAATAATATACAAGTAACATGAGTGACACAAATAAGACATATAATAACTAGATGGGGAAAAGCTCAAACTACAGTTCATTTCAACATAGTGACAGTGCAAGGAGTAGTGTTTACTGGGAGTGAATACACTGATTTATTACAAGTTATTGATAATTTTTACAATGGTTGGGACTGGGCTGTTCTTATAGCGATCAGTTCGTGCACGTATGGGCTGGATGCGGTTGTGGTGTCGAACAGCAATTCTCGGACTAGGGATCTCAGGTGGTAGTAGGGCCGTGTCGGGGATGGTGTAGAAGCTTCTTACCAAATTTGCAGATGAGGTCGTGGTGATGGTCAGTGAGAGTCGAAAGGGTCAGTGTGTTGAGCGCTTCTTGATATGTGGAGTAGGAAGGGGAGAGAATAATCTTGCATGCCCTCTTTTGCACTTTTTCTAGGTGTTTACGTTGTGTGGCATTTAGGGAGGAAGACCAGGTGGGGGAGGCATAGGTGAGCTTGGGAAGTATGAATGTTGTGTAAACACTGAGGAGCTCGTGTGCAGGAACTCCGAGGGACTTGAGTCGGCGTAGGAGGTGGAGACGGAAACTGGAGGATTTGATAACTTCACTGACGTGTGGTTTCCAATTTAGTTTGTTGTCTATGGTGACGCCGAGGAGCTTCGTGGAATCTACAACCTGGAGTGTGTTCGGACCTAGAGTAATGGAAGGGGGTGGGACAATGTCGGAGGAGAGGTTGATGTGCATAACCATGGTCTTGGTATGGTTGATGGTGACATGGTTGTTGGTGGCCCAGTTTTGGAGACTGTTCAATAAATCCTGAAGGGCGGTATAGTTGGGAGCAGAATTGTTGACGCTGATCCCAATGGTGGAGTCGTCGACATATTTCCAGCGAGCAGGGGTTTCTCTTAGGGCATCATTGATGAGCATAAGGAAGCAGAGTGGTCCCATCTTGGTGCCTTGGGGGACGCCACAGGTGAGTGACTGAAAGGTGGAGACAGCCCCTCGGAAGCGTACAGCTTGGCGTCGGTCACTGAGGAAGTCTGTAAGCCATGGTATAAGACTTCTCCGAAGCCCGAGGTCAATAGCTTTGTTGATGATTATATTGTGGTCGACTAGGTCGAACGCTTTAGTGAAATCAATGAAGGCGACAGCTACAGACGTTTTTCGCTTCTCGAGATGGCGGTATATGTAATCGAGAAAGCTGACAAGACAGTGAGTGGTGGAGGAAGTTTTCATGTTGCCAAATTGCTGAGGGTCTACGACTCCTGCAATATCAGCATAAGCCCAGTCGAACACAAAACTTTCACAGATTAGGCTGGGTATTGGGGTGATTGCAATAGGTCGTAGATGATTTAAGGATTGTGGGCTGGTTGACTTGGGCACTGGTGATACATAAGAGGTCTTCCAGTCAGCTGGGCATCTGTGTGTGTGTGTGTGTGTGTGTGTGTGTGTGTGTGTACTGCCCTTGTGGCAAAAGAGCTGGCTAGGTATAACATCGACAGAGCAGCCATCCGCCAACAAACACTACACAGGCTAACTGAAATGCCTAGTGGGATCAATGAGCGCCTCATGACGCTTCGAGTCCCACTGAATCACTCACGTCATGCCTTCTTTATCATTGCATACGCCCCAACACTGGATGCAGAGGATAACATCAAGAAATCTCTTACGCCGACCTTGACAGAGTGCTAACCTCTATCCCCAGAGAAGACAAGGTTGTGCTCTTTGGCGACTTCAATGCCAAAGTTGGCAGAAAGGCTAACATTTGGCAGGGAACCATAGGGAGAAATGGACTAGGCAGGTGTAATCCCAACGGCCTACGCCTCCTCAGCAAGTGTGCTGCACACAACCTCACTATCATCAATACCTTGTTTATGCAGGCCGACAAGTTCAAGGGTTCGTGTCAACACCCACGATCCAAAAACTGGCATCTCATTGACTACATCTTTGTCAGAGAAAGATATAACCGAGAAGTCCTCATCACCCGTGCCATGCGTGGCTCAGACCACTGTGAGACTGATCATCGACTTGTCAGATCCAAGCTCTCACTTCACATCGCTCCAAAACGGCGAAGGCAGCAAGCCTCCAGAAGAGGTTTTAATACCAAGCGTCTGGAGGAACCAGCGATAGCACATGCTTTCAGAGAGCAGCTCGAACATGGGCTTATAAGCAACCCAACAGCAAACAACGTGAATCCCACTGCCGAATGGGATACTCTTAATACTGTTATGATAAAAACCTGCAGAGAGACCCTCGGCCACATCAAAAGAATACACCAATACTGGTTTGATGAAAATGACACCGGCAATCAAAGTACTCATCGATGCTGCTTTTACTGACTGGCAGAACAACCCTCAGTCTCGAACCAAAGCTGATACCTTCCCCAAGAAGAAAGCTGCAGCCCAGCGGGAACTTGACAATCTAAGGAAGGACTGGCTTAAAAAATAAAACAAGTGAAGCACAAAAGTTACAGCTCACCACATGATGTGCAAATTTTTAAATTCCACTAAAGCATTTTCTGGTCCAGTCACTCGTGGCGCAGCCCCCTTGAGTTCACTACCATTCATTGCTCAACTGAAACACCGATGAGGATGTCCTAACTACCCAGCAGGTCCCTCAGCATCCAGGAGCTAACCCATCTCATCCACCACTGGCTGAGGTAGCTACTGCCATCAAACAGATGAATATAACAAAGCCTCAGGACCTGATGGAATCCCAGCCGAGGTTTATAAGGCAGGAGGACCTCTGCTTACTAGCTGTCTCCACTCTCTCCTGGAGAATATATGGGAAAAGGAGGAAATCCCCCAGGCCCTTAAGGACGCCTCCATTGTCAATATTTATAAGAACAAGGGAGACCGGTCAGACTGTGGCAACTACCACGGGATCACGCTGCTTTCGTTAGGTGGCATGATTATTGCCTGAGTCCTCCTAAACAGACTTCTTTCTGAGGCGGAAAACTTCCTCCCTGAATCTCAATGTGGTCTTTTTACCTTCACGTGGCATCACTGACATGATCTTTGCTGCCTGCCAGATACAGGAATAGTGCAGAGAACACAGTAGTGACCTGTACTTGACTTTCATCGACCTAACCAAGTCCTTCGACTCGGTCAAAAGGGAAGCCCTCTGGTGGGCCCTCAGCCGTTTTGGCTGCCAACCAAAATTCATTGCCATTGTGAGGCAACTCCACGATGACACGAACGGCAGTGTCCTGCACAACGGCACCCAGTCGGAGTTCTTCCCCATCCAAACAGGGGTTAAACAAGGGTGTGTACTGGCACCAACTCTCTTTTCCATCTTTTTGGCTGCCTTCCTTGCTCATGCCAGTGCCAATTTAGCCAGCGGTGTGAACAACGAGTACCAGGTAAAGGGGGATCTTTTCAACATAAGACGACTCGAGGCAATAACAAAGGTGTCAGCAGCTTCCATTACTGAACTTAAGTGTACAGATGACCTCACCCTTGTTGCTCACACTGAACGCGACCTACAGGATATCCTCAACACCTACAAAAATGCGTATGCTCACTTCGGCCTTGAGGTGAATGTACGTAAGACTCAAATTCTCTTTCAACCTGCCCCTGGTTCAAATACACCTCCACCATCCATCCAGTACTACCCTCTCTAATGTTACCCACTTCCGGTATCTCGGCTCCCACCTGTCCACTACCGCACACATCGATGAAGAGATTCAGCATCAGATCAGATGTGCATCTCAGACCTTTGGCAAACTCCGAAATCGTGTCTTCAGCTGTAGGGAGCTGAAATTATCTACAAAGCTGCACGTATATCGAGCAGTGGTCCTTCCCACCCTGCTATATTGCAGTTAGACATGGGTCACATACAGGAGGTACCTCAAGGCTCTTGGAAACTTTCACTGAGTTCGCTGGGCAGCCAAGAGATCAAATCCCAGTATTCTTGCTAACACCAACTGTAAGAGCATCGCGGTTACCATTATCCATGAACAACTACGTTGGACTGGCCATGTTACCAGCATGGACGACAGTAGACTGCCAAAGCAGCTACTTTACAGTCACCTAACGATTAGTATAAGGGTAGTCTTAAGATAAACCTGAAAAAGTGCCAAATCGAAGCCCTACCTGGGAGTCGATTACTCCACATCGTAACGCTTGGAGGAGCACCACACGAGAAGGTGTCAAAACTTTCGAGTTAGCCCGACTGCAAACCAAGGCAGACAAGCGCCAACGCCGGAAAGACACTGCCACCGCCCCTCCAGCAGTAGATGGAGCCCTCCACATGTGCAACGAATGCGAACGACGCTGCAGGTCCCGTATAGTTCTCTTTAGTCACCTCAAAACTCACCAACCTAGGTGACATCCTTAATAACTCATATTATTGTATCATAGCTAGATGATCGTCATACTCAATTCTGAGTGACAGCAAAGTATGTGTGTGTGTGTGTGTGTGTGTGTGTGTGTGTGTTTATATGTATATTCAACTTTTTACGTTTGTATGTGAATGCATTTAGATTCTCACTCCTCATATTCGGCGACGCAGTCGTAAACCGAACAATGGCAGCGTGCCCATAAATTCGGCTCCTTGAGCTGGACTGGATTACTCGTCCTCC